GAGGGGGCGACGCGCGCGCCGAGAAATTTTGCAGTCGAAGCTCCGCGGCGGGCGCTTTCTGCCCGTACCGCTCGGGAAACGAGATGCTGCGAGATGGTTGAACCATATGTTCGGGTCGGGCGCACGCCTCCGAGGAGGGCACATAATGCCCTTGTGTGTCCCAGTCGATAGAAGTGAGGAGGGAGGAGGGATGAAGGAATGGTGGGCCTCACCGTCTTGGCCATGGTCACCGTTGTATTTCCCTCCGCGCAGGGCCATGTGCTGCTGAGCCGTCCCGCCCTGGCCGCGCCCCTCGTCGGCCGCAGGCCGCCCAGCCGGCGGGGCCTCCGAGCCATGGTCTTGATGCAGATGGGCGGCATGGGCGGGGGCGGCCTGGGCCTGGACGGGCCGGTGCCGGAGAGCCTGAGGCAGTCGAATCGATGGTTCAAAGAGGGGGTCTTGAGGGATGGGGTCCTAAGGATGGGAGGGGCTTCAAGGGTGGATTTGCAGAGGGAGGTTCCGAGTTGGAGATCGACTACAGAATTGATTTGCCCCAGGATTTATCCTTCCGTCGAATCAACGGGGGAGACCCCGAGTGCTCCGTATGCGGTCGGGAGCTTTTGGATATTGTGTCGCTCCGCCAGCCGCTGTGCCCACTTCGGCTACGTACATCCCACGTCTGCCTTCGAACGCGGCGAGGGCTCTCGCTGCTGCGACCAAAAAGGGCCGCTCCGCCGGTTCTGGCTCGCCACTCTTCAGAGCGCGACGCTGGCCACGCTCCGGTCCCCGAGCGTCAACCTCCTGCCCCGCGAAGCGGAGCGAAACGCCATCATGGTGCAAGGGACAGCGTGTGGCCGGGGCCGCCGCCGCGGCACGCTAGGCAAAAGTTCCCGACCGTAGCGTTGCCCCCCCCCCCTCCCCAGAGGAGGCGGAAGAGGGTTCCATCGCGAGGACCGGGCCGGACGAACGGGTAGGCAAAGAGGCATCGCGTGTCGCCGTGGCCGTCGCCGTGGCACGCCAGGCAGTAGTTCCGGACCGTAAGCGGCATAGGCACGAATTGTCAGAACTCCGCGCGGATTGGATCGGCGCGTGCGGCGCCTCAGGCTCCATCCCACTGCGCTCTCCGCGCGCCAGGAAGGTGGGCCCAGCGCCGACCCAAGCGGAGAGATTCGATGGGCGCTGGCTGGAAGTCTGGTTGATTCCGCTCAAGCAGGAGCTGCCCTTGTCAGCGTTTCGGGGGAACGCGCCGATTTCGGCTAGATCTGGGGCCCCGCCGCAGGGGCCTCAAACCCTCCAGTTCCCCACCCGCGCCCCTCCCAACAACGCCGGCGTCGAGAAGTGATGTCTGAGCGCATATGTTTATGGCCGTTTCCATTTTTCTTTCGCCCCGACATCCGGCTGCTCCAATGCTTTTGATGCGTGGGCCCCGGAGGTCTGGGCTACTTCCCTGTGGCCGGTTTTTCGCCCTGAGTCGTTTTTCGACAGTCCCGAGTTCCGGCGAGGGTCCCCCGAGACCGAAATCCGCCAAAAACCGCCCGCTCCAATTTTTTGGGGGGAGTGTCGGATCTTTGAGCTTGGAGCATGAGGCAGACCCACGCCAAGTTTTGGTGGGCGTACTTCGTGCTGATCCTGGCGTCGCTCGTGGTGGAGCTCTTTGCCCTCGACGTATTCGGGGTGCTGTTCGCGGGCCTGATGGCCTTCATCGTTTGGTACATGGTGAAGAACTCGTGCAAGAACATGAGCCAGTACTGCCTCTTCATCTTTGGCGTCATGTGCATGATCGAGGCACTCTTCGAGCTCCTGACGCTGGTCACCGTGATCGGGGGGCGGAGCACCTCTTCGACCACCGAGTCGACGTCGAAAGACGAGGACGGGAATACTGTCGTGTACTACACCACGGTGGTGGAGGAGACGCCTTTCTACGATTCGTCACAGGGCCTGACCTACAACGCAGAGTCCGTCGGGTACATCCTGTCTCCGGCTGTCATGGTCGTCGGGGCCATCCTTTGCTACTTCGCCTACCAGGCGTACGATACCAGCCTCTGGGGAGACGACCTCGAGGACGGAAGGATGGAGAACTTCGACAACAGAAGAGGAGGGTTCCAACGCAGAGGATCCAGGGCAACGTTCGGGGGGATAGGCTCAGCGGGGGTCGCATCGCCTCCCGCTCATTGATCGCCGATGGGGGCCTCATAGCCCACCCCGCCAAGTACCGTGCGGATTCGCTATCGGGGGCCTATCGCCGATCTATCGGCGATGAGTCGTCGCGTGAAGCTCGACGGTTCCTCCCCCCCTGAGCTGGTCTCCCCCCCTGTCGGGAGCTCTGGCTAAGCGGCGTGTCGCGCCGCCTGTTCTGGCCCACCACGCTTCGGCGAGTTACCCTATCCACGTCCCGGTCCCCGAGCGTCAGCGTCCCAAGCCTTTCCCGACCTCCTGCCCCGCGGAGCGGAGCGAAACGATATCATGGTGCAGGGGACACAGCGTGTGGCCGGGGCCGCCGCCGCGGCACGCTAGGCAAAAGTTCCCGACCGTAGCGTTGCCCCCCATAGGAGGCGCAGGAGGGCTCCCTCGCGAGGACTGGGCCAGACGAAAGGATAGGATTGGCAAAGGAAGGGTTGCGCCATCAGCTGCATGCAGCTGGTTTCGGTCCCGCCGAGGGGCCCATTCCTCGATACATGGCCGCCTCTGGCGCCGGGCAAAATCAGCTGCGTGAGCTGATTCGCTAACCCTCCCTCTGCCATCCCCTCCCCGTCGTCCGGCCCGAAAGGACCCCCCGCCCCGTTCTGCCGGCAGACAGCGGCCGCTCTTCGAGGGTCAGGGCCAGCGACTGGGCGACTGAGGGCCGAGAGCGGAGGCCTCCCTTTCCAAGCGCGGAGGCCTCGCTGAGCGCTGGAAACCTGAGGAGGAGGAAGAGGAGGAGGAGGAGGAAGAGGAGGAGGAGGAGGAGGGCCAGGATGATAATGATGATGATGATGATGATGATGATGATGATGATGATGATGATGATGATGATGATGATGATGATGATGATGATGATGATGATGATGATGATGATGATGATGATGATGATGATGATGATGATGATGATGATGATGATGATGATGATGATGATGATGATGATGATGATGATGATGATGATGATGATGATGATGATACTGCTGCTGCTGCTGTGCTGCTGATGATGATGATGATGATGATGATGATGATGATGATGATGATGATTTGATGATGATGGGATGATAATGATGATGAGATGATGATGATGATGATGATGTTGATGACGATGATGATGATGATGATGATGATGATGATGATGATGATGATGATGATGGATTGATGATGATGATGGATTTGATGATGGATTATGTGATGATGATGATGATGATGATGATGATGATGATGATGATGATGATGATGATGTTGATGATGATGATGATGATGATGATGATGATGATGATGATGATGATGATGATGATGATGATGATGATGATGATGATGATGACGATGATAGTGCTGCTGCTGCTGATGATGATGATGAGGAGGAGGAGGAGGAGGAGGAGGTGGAGGATGAGGAGGAGGAGGAGGAACAGGAGGAGGAGGAGGAAGTGAATGAGGACCAGGAGGAGGAGGAGGAGGAGGAGGAGGAGGAGGAACAGGAGAAGGAGGAGGAGGAGGAGGAGGAAGAGGAGGAGGAGGAGGAGGAGGAGGAGGAGGACCAGGTCAAACCCAAGTGTCATCAACGATGTTGGAATAAACCTTCCCTCCAAGCTCCCCCTTCATAAGCCCCTACAACGGTTCATTTCAACTGAGGGAACTGCCTCGTTGGAAAGCCACCGTTTGAAGGCCCTGAAGCATGCCAAAACATTGTTCTCAGGATTCCAACGCCACGGATCAACCTGACGGTTGCGTCTTGACGATCCTGAACCGTGCCAGAACGCCATTCTTGGGACTTCAACACCGCGAGTCAACGTACGTCATTGTTTCGCCCTCAATCCGGAATCTTTCCACAACATCATATCTGGTACGCTGATCATGGGAATCCGTGAAACTCGTGCAATGTTCTGAACCCACTGTGCGCGGCGCTAAGGCGAGAACCACATACATAATCTACAATTTCATGTACGTTTGTCTCAGGCGAAACACCCAGCCCGCCCTAAAAACAGGCCCCGGGGTGCGGCAGGTAGAAGTTATTCAGAAGGAACAGGAATGGAGGACCAGGAGGAGGAGAAGGAGGAGGGGATTCTGCTGCTGCTGATGATAATGAGGAGGGGGAGGAAGAGGACCTGCAGGAACCAGGAAGACCAGGAGGAGGAGGAGGAGGAGTACCAGGAGGACAAGGAGGAACAGGAGGAGGAGGAGGAAGAGGAGGAGGAGGAGGAGGACCAGTGTAAACCCAACAGTTATCAACGCTGCTGGGATAATCCCTTCCTCCAAGCTCCTTCTTCATAGTCCCCTACAAGGGTTCATCACCACTCAGTGAACTGCTTCGTTGGGAGACAACCGTTTGAGGACCCTGATGCATGCCAAAACATGGACATGGCGGTTGCGTCTTGACGATGCTCAACTGTTTCGGCCTCGTAATCCTGATTTTCCCGGAAAGGGCTCCGGCCCAGGGTTCTCTTTTAGTAGGTAAACCTGTCCCCCGGTGCCAACTTGAGGGAGGCCGGCGAATTTTTTCCCTGATAAATAACGAGGTCGAAGGAGGCCGGCGAATTAAAATTTGAGGAAGTCTCGAGCGAAACGCTTGTTTTGAAATCCCGATGATAATCACAGGGTGCGGGCCACTTTTTCGTGTGTTTGAAGATGTCTCGAGGCGAAACGCTTGCTCCGCAGAGTTTTGCCGAGGATGTCTCGAGCGAACGCTTGTTTCTGCAGAGCCGACTCCGCGACGCCGGAAAAGCGCCCCGCGCGAAGGAATTTCGATGATGTCTCGACTAATTCGTTTGTTTTTGTTACGATTTCAGGATTTTGGCAGGATGTCTCGAGCGAATAGCACGACCCCACCCTAGCACGACCCAAACCCCTGCACGACCACCCCCAGCACGACCAGACCCAGCACGAACCCCACCCCAGCTCGGACCCCACCCAGCACGACCATCCCCAGCACGACCACCCCCCAGCACGCCCGACCCCAGACGACCCTGCTCCCAGCAATGACCCAACCCCAGCACGACCACACCCCAGCACGACCACACCCCAGCACGACCCCACCCCAGCACGACCACGCCCCAGCACGACCACGCCCCAGCACGACCACGCCCCAGCACGACCACCTCCCAGCACGACCACACCCCCAGCACGACCACCCCCCAGCACGACCACGCCCCAGCACGACCACACCCCAGCACGACCACTCCCCAGCACGACCACACCCCAGCACGAGCACGACCACACCCCAGCAAGACCACACCCCAGCACGACCACACCCCAGCACGACCACACCCCAGCACGACCCGATCGATAAATCACAGGGTGCGGAGCACCCCAGCACGAACCCACCCCAGCACGACCCCACCCCAGCACGACCCCACCCCAGCACGACCACGCCCCAGCATGACCACACCCCAGCACGACCACACCCCAGCACGACCACTCCCCAGCACGACCCCACCCCAGCACGACCCCACCCTAGCACGACCACACCCCAGCACGACCACACCCCAGCACGACCCCACCCCAGCACGATCACACCCCAGCACGACCCCACCCCAGCAAGACCACACCCCAGCACGACCGCACCCCAGCACGACCTTACCACAGCACGACCAAACCCCAGCACGACCACGCCCCAGCACGACCACGCCCCAGCACGACCACGCCCCAGCACGACCACGCCCCAGCACGACCACGCCCCAGCACGACCACCCCCCAGCACGACCACCCCCCCAGCACGACCACCCCCCAGCACGACCACCCCCCAGCACGACCACACCCCAGCACGACCACTCCCCAGCACGACCACACCGCCTTGGTTGAGTGGTTGCTGTCGTCGTGGAATGTTTCGTGGGGTGTCTCGTGGAATGTTTCGCGGGGTGTCTCGTGAAATGTTTCGTGAGGTGTCTCGTGGAATGTTTCGTGATGTGTCTCGTGGGCTGTTTCGTGAGGTGTCTCGTGGGATGTTTCGTGAGGTGTTGCCCAGTTGGGTATCATGAAAACGTGTCCATGCTCCACATGTCTATATCCCTTTCCGGGTTCGTGGGTCCATCATGTTTTTTGAAACGACATATCTTGTACGCTGATCATTGGAATCAGTGACACCCGTGCAGTTTTCTAAATCCAATGTGCGCGGCGCCAAGGCGAGAGCCACATTTTGAAAAGGAACCGCCCTCAACCCGTGAACCTCCTGCAATGTTTTAAAACGAATTTGCGCGGCGCTACTGCGAGAGCCACATTTTGAACACGACCGCCCTCAATCCGTGAAGTCCTTGCCAATTTTCCCGGAAAGGGCGCAGGCCCAGGGTTCTCTTTTAGTTGGTTTCCCCCCGGTTTTGACGGCTGTAGGGCCGGCGAATTTCTTTTGCGATAAATAACGAGGTCGCGTAGGGCCGGCGAATTAAAAATTGAGGATGTCCCTAGCGAAACGCTTGTTTTTCAGAATTTGTTGAGGATGTCTCGAGCGAAACGCTGGTTTTGCAGAGTTGGGGATGTCTCGAGCGAAACGCTTGTTTTCAGAATTGGTTGAAGATGTCTCGAGCGAAACGCTTGCAGAGCCGACCGCGACGCGGAGAAGCGCCCCACGCGCAGGAATTCCGAGGATGTCTCGCGCGTGCCGCGTCCCGCGCGCAGGAATTTCCAGGATGTCTCGACTAATTCGTTTATTTTGTCCAGGATGTTTTTGAATTTTGGCAGGATGCCTCGAGCGAAGCGCTTGTTTTTCAACATTTGTTGAGGATGTCTCGAGCGAAACGCTGGTTTTGCAGAGTTGGGGGATGTCTCGAGCGAAACGCTTGTTTTTCAGAATTTGTTGAGGATGTCTCGGAGCGAAACGCTGGTTTTGCAGAGTTGGGGTATCTAAAATGGCGTCGGGCCCAACGCCGAATTATGAGGAAACGCACGGGGGGCCGAAAAGCGCTACCCGAACACATGTCCCAATACAGAAAAGTTATGGTTTCTTGCTCTGAACGGGGGGTTGCGCTTTGGGGGCCTCTCCAGGGAAGACGTTGTGAGGATGTCTCGAGCGGGAGCGCGAATTCAGCGTATCCAGGTCACGCAGAGGGGTATCTAACATGGCTGCCCCGAGCTGGAACCACGTGTTTTTTCATGCTCAGGCCACCCAGGGAGATCTCTAACATGATTGTCCCGAGCTGGAACCACGTGTTTTACGTGTCCAGGCCACCCAGGGGGTATCTCTCATGGTTGTCCCGAGCTGGCACCGTGTTTTACGTGTCCAGGCCACCAACACGACGCTTGTCCCCAGCACGTTCTGTAGCGCGTCCCCTTGGCACGTCCCGCGGTGCGTCCCCGTGGCACGTCCCCTGGCGCGTCGCCTGGCGCGTCCCTTGGAACGTTCCGCGGCGCGTCTTCCTGGCATGTTTCCTTGTCAATTAGCTCTGGGGCAGCTACTACGTGGACTATGTGCTCGGGCAGCTCGAGCTTAAGATCCAGATCAGTTCGGTCAGGACTCGGATGCAAAGGAGGACTCGATCCACAACGCTGTAGAGCACAATCGCGGCATGGCACATCGCAGTTCAGCATGGCGCAGCACAGCACAGCCCTCGGCACGGTACATCAAGATCGATACACTAACTCAGCATTGCAACTTGTCACGTTCTTTGGCACGTTCCGTGGCGCGTCCTGTGGCGAGTCCCCCTGGCACGTCGCGCGGCGCGTCCCTTGGCACGTCCCGTGGCACGTCCATTGGCACGTTCCGTAGCGCGTCCCCTTGG